TAGACCCTAAATAATCCCTATCATATGTTACTCGAGAGGGACATTGAGATAACCGGATATACTAGTGTGCTGTATATCCATCCATATGATGGAGGCGACTAGTCTCATAGTTGCTCATGTGGGGACACTAGGGATACAGTGCAGGTGCTCATTGGAGATTAAGTTCACTGATCGATTCGCTTACGGAATGCTGGATAATTGATGATACCTTATTGTCAGATAATAATTTTATCATTTCAATGGTGTATATGATCCTTAGACTTGAGACACTAAGGATGTCCTATATAAGTACTCCACTCTTTGATACCAGATTTATAGGTCTGAAAATTTCAAATCTAGTACAACCGGTCATTGGGAGTGGTAGCCAATCTTACGAGGGCAAATGAATATCGATAGAGGATCATCTTCTCTCGGTGTCATGAGAGAAATATCTCATATGTTCTTACTCAAGCAAATTCCTAACCAGGGTCATTCGGAATGAGAGAGAAAGAGTGCTTTGGGAGAATCTGATTAGAGCGAGACTCGAGTATAAACCATATGAGCTTGAAAACACCATGCTCGGAATACGATCTTTGAGATATTAGATGGATGATAAACTATAGATACATGGTAACTGAGGACAGACATGTCCAATGGATTAGACCTCTTTATCGTTTAGGGACTATGGCGTAGTGACTTAGTATGTTCACAGTTGATAAGTTGAGTGAATTATTATGTAGATAATAATTTACTGAGCCAAAAGGAGTTCTGACAGGTATGACTCATGGCTAACTCGATATTAGGTCTAGAGGATCATACAAATATGATAGGTGTTGCGATGAGCAGAGGTTTAAATATGAGATATCCGCTGAAGCCCTTATCTTATTGGATATCCAATAAGGTCTTGAATTATTGGATCCTATGGATGAGATCCAATAAGAGTAAATGAGAGATTATTGGATAGAAATCCATTAATCTAAGTAGCTTGGGTAGTTGGATGAAGATCTTGTACCCAACAGGGCAGGATCCATTAAGGTAAATTTATAAGGACATCTATATAAATATGAGAGAACCAAAGGCTATAGGTTGGACCTCTTTTGGTTGCCACCTCCTGTCCTCCTCTCTCTCTCCCCTCCTTAGCCAATAGCCCTTGCTTGGGGCGTATGGACAGCAAGAAGGGCCGGTCCCTTCTTAATCGTGTGGTGCATATAAAAAGGAGGATTGTGTAATGATTTGAAGAGCATCTTTACAACCCCTACAATGTGGATCATTGCTAGAGAGGAGGATAGTTAATTTCCTTCATCATTTCCTATAGATTTGTAAGTTTTCAGGGATATATGATCTCCCTAGATAACACATCTTTATTATACGTGTAATTTTCGATTTTGTAGGTTTTTGCGCATCAATCTTCGCATGATGATGAAATCTTCTTATTTTATGTGGAAATCTAAGATTTTTATTTTCTACCCTTCCGGTGCGCATGTGATGTTACTTCAGATTTCCCAACACTAATATGTACGAATCACTTCATATTTCTTATTTCAATGGAGAGAGATATTTTATCATATTAATATATGACTTGTTAAAATATAATTATATATTTTTAATACATAAAAAGTCGACTGTTAACACTCCTGAGGTATACAAATGAAGTTGAGAGATAATTAAATAAAAAAAATCAAATTATCAAATTTGATAAAGGTAGTAAATTTTATGATAGATATGACGAGTCAGGTTAGAATCCTAGTCTTTTTGCTAGATTTTTAGAAAAATAAGATATTTGTGTTCATTATGCCTTACCGAGTTTGTCATAGTAGAATGACATTGTTAGAAGGCGAAATTGTATTATTATAAATATGATTAGGAGTATAATAAGTTATTCTTCTGTATCTAGGTCGATGTAGAGTGAAGCTCTTAAGATATAATTATCATATCCCATCACATAATTATTCAAAATATATTCCCTTTTATGATTATATAAATCTCCTAATTATATGTATTACTATAAATATTTTTTAATATCATTTAGGACTAATTCTTTAATATAATTTTATAATTTATTATTTTAGATCACTTTGATGGTTATAAGACTAATATAATAATATAAAATATAGTTTAAGATATCTTATAAATGATAAAATATTTATTTAATTTATATCCCATAAACAAACTATCCTAGGTTACTTTGACTACTACTAGTTAAATAAAACTTAAGGATATAAGTTACAAATAATATTAATCAAATATCCTTTAATTTAATTTATATAAAAATAATTTAATAATATTAAAATAATAATCATAATAATTATTAAACATTAATCAACATAAAAAAACTCATATGATAACTATAATCATGATAAAATATAAATCATGT